ATTCAGCAGGATGGGGCATCACTGATAAGTGGGGTTGATGCATGCTAATGAAGGGTAATAAAAATAGATGCTGCATGAGAGATGTGCCAAGTCAGGAATCCCTACTCCCGGATAGAGTTTCCCACAGGTAATGGAAAGAAAGGGGTTGGGGGGAGTCACTTTTTACTGGAAACCTGATCTACCACCCATTGCCTACAGAGGATTTTTGTAAAGTAACTAAGGAAACGCAATTGCAGACAGCAGCCCCAGCAAAGTTCGGATAACTCTACTTGAAAGACTTTCTTTCCTGTGACCCCATGGGAACCCAGTCATGCTAAATGCAGGTTGTTAGACCTGAGTCGTCTAAGAGCCATAGGTTCAGGCTACAGCTTTTGAGGCCCCAGGGGAGGACTCAGGCACCCAGCGCCTCCGTTGAGGGGCAACATCCAGCAATTCACTAGGCAGAGGAGGGCAAGAAGGTGCAAAGAGAAAAGCAAGAAAAAAGAACAGGCAGACAGCTGGCTCCCACTAGCCAGGTCATCCCCAGTTGTTGCTGTCGGTCAAAACCCATTGGTCACTCAGCATTCAAACATTTCCTGGGTGTTGAGACGCTTCAAGGGAACATTCCCGGAGAACGAGGGTGATGTCATCAGGCAGCGCTCCTCGACCACGCGCCCATTTTTCATGCCTTCTCCACCAACGCAGTGGTAAGGGGTGAGGATGGAGGGGAGGGCAGAGCAGCCCTGGGCTTGAGGGGCAAGGGTCAACCGAGCACACACACACACACACACACACACACACACACACACACACACACACACCCACACACACACACACCCGCCCCGAACTCTCGAGCACGCCGCGTGGGGGTGCTCGCGCACACGCCAGGCAGCCGGGGAAACCTAACCCGCTGCCAGGACCAAAAGCCGCAAGGCCGCGCAGTAGGAAAGGACCCTAACCTTGAGGTGTGTCTGCCAGCCGGACGGAGCGGCGCCTTGGGCCTGGGTCCCCGCCTCAAATCCCGCCTGGCCTTGGCGCCGCCTTCCCCGTGTCCACTAGGACGCAGAGCCCTAGGGTTCGTTGCTTTCGTTTGTACAAGGTCCACCGTGCGCCCGCGGCTTCCAAACCGTTCGCTCGGGAGAGGCCTCCAGGCCCCCGAGTAGAAGAGAGGAGGCAGCCTGGAGGGAGGAGAAGGTTCCTGCCGCTCCCGTACTTGGAACCTGAGACTGCTGCAGCCACGTGCGGTGGGGGCAATGCCGCGGTTCGGGCACTCCTAGGAGTGCGGGGACCCGGGAACCCCGCGCCCTGCGTGCCCACTGGAACTGGGACTGGAGCTGGGATGTACGTGGTGGGGGAGGAGGGTTTAGGGAGAATTTGTGCCTGGACCTACAGTAAACGTCGGGCAGCACCGCACACCTCAGGCAGAGCAATGTTGCAGAGAACCGGCTGCGTGAGCCTGAATGCCCGAAGTCCGGCAGGTATAAGCGCGCAGGTGGTGAGGCTCACCCTGCCGGACGCCAGCGCCCCGCTTTCTACGAAAAGCACCGCACCAACACAAGCAGGCAACCGGGGTAGCGGCAACTGGAGAGGGCTCCGCCCGTGCGGCCCCGGAGCGCCGGCCTGAGGCGCGGGGCACCAGGGTCAGAGTTTGCTTGGGGAACGGAGGTAGTGCTACAGCCTTTATAGGCTGGAAAAACAAAGATTGAAAAAGCAGTAAAGACTGTTGTTCCCCTGTTTTGCCCGAGAGCCCGCTTTCTTCTCTACTTCCCTTTCTTCGGATGAAGGCCCTTCTATTCACTGAACTTGGCAATGGAGAAGCAGCGGCTCCAAACCAACGCCAAAGAAGGTCCAGAGGAGATGGGCGGGTTTGTTTTTTGAACACTTTCCTCCCTCCCCCCTCGCAGCCCCGTTTATTCTCCAGTCCAGGACTGCAAATTGCAGGGGTCCTAGGAGCTTCCTGCCCAACTCTGAACATCAAGGCCTCAGACTGCCCCCAGCAGACAGCAAACGCTCCCCAGTTCCCACTGAGCCACTCGCCTCTGTTGCTGCATGATCCTTCCAAGAGACTCTGGTCACAGCTTGGAGGTGAACTGGAAGCAGACGCTTCAATGAAGCCCAGATGGCTGGGTTGGGTGGGGGGAGGTTACTAAAGCACGCAAGTGCATGCTTCCTGGGCTTGGGTCTTAGGGAAAGATGGAGAACAGCAAGGAGGTGGGGGAGAGTCGGGGAGGCTGGCACCCCGAGGCCTCTCCACAACTCCCACCTGCGAAGACTGGGGCCTGAGATTGTCTTATAGTTTGTTGCCTCCTGACCCAGACATCTTCCAGAATATTCCGTCCTGTGGCTACCACAAAGGGGGTGGAGCGCTGGAGAGTGTGAAGAGAGCCTGGTTCATCTTCTTTGCCTCTGCTGGATCAGAACTGCCAGAACCAGTTTCCCCTTGGCCTGGGGAGGGAGATAATGAAGGTGGTGGAGTCACACCCAACTGTCAGGTGCTGGTGCTGCAGGTTTTCTGTGCTGGCTTTCCTGGCTTTGCATATGGCATATGCGACAGAGTCCAAGGTGGCAGGTCCTGTCTCTCCTGCCCAGGGTTGACCATGGCCCTGGGGCAGAGGGGCTGCAAGGAGCATAGCGGAGGGGGCGACCATGAAGCCAAACCAACCTCAGGAGGATCCATCAATCCATCAGTCAGTCGGGGTAGGATGCAGTCCTGGGCCAAGTCCAACCTTGAGGCTCCTAGGAGGCACATAACTGAGATGGCAGAGACCATGGTTCTTCAAGATCAGTGTGCCTGGATCAACCCCAGCCCACATCAGACCAGCAAGGAGAACTCTGGGAGATCCCTCATCTAAGAACAGGGAGAAAATAAGGTGCAGCAGGAAGGAGACCCACAGCCCAGACCCCAGAGCTAGAAGCAGAAGGGCATCTGTATGCTTTTATCCACACAGTTATACAGGTCTGAAAGGATGTCTTTTGTTGGAGGTCAGGAAAATGGTCTCTATACACTCCTTCCCCACATGGCTGGGGTAAATTCCTCCCCAGGCCTCCGGGGGTTCTCGCAGCCAGCTCTGGACACAAGACAGGGTACCTGGAGCTTCAGGGCCCCCACTCCCAGACCCCACAGGAGCCTCTTGGATTTCTGCAGGGGGCTACATCCTGGTGCTGGTTGGGACCTGCTTTTGACAGTCCTGACACACTGGGGTAAATGTGTAGGGGTGGAAGTCTTGGGAAAAGTTCTGAGGTTCCCCCCTCAGAAGGAGGTTCCCCACCTCATACTTGCAACACACCCCAAAAGGACTTCCAGAATTATGGAACAGGAAGAAACATTTGCTAGGCTTGCTGATAAGGACATGGCACTGGCACAAGGGCTAAGATGCTATGTGAGAAGCAGGTGTCCCATAATGACTCTGCTTCTTAGACCCTGGGAAGCAGTAGGTGATGGCCAAGCAAGGTCAAAAGTTGGACCCAGGGTCCTGAACACCTTTTCCAAGGCTTCTGGCACAAACCCTCTCAGGGGCCTATACTTGGGTTCCACAGTCTGAGTAGGAAGGCAGAGCAAGAGATCGGTGCTGACTTGGGGGTCCCTGCTGAGAAGGGTGCTGGGAACCAGCTCCTCCTGAGGAAGACACCCAGGTGGGGGCGGCCCGGGAGCTGCAGCCTGGGCCTTTTTGCAGTTCCAGAAACACAGCCTCCTTTGCATCTCCCAGCTCTCCCCCTGATCCCCTACTCGCCCCTTTCCCTAAGGACCAACTCCACGTGCTTCCTCCCGCGCCCCGACAAAAACCAAACCCAAACCGGCCTCTCATACCCCACCCCACGCCCGGAGCGCAGCAGCCCAGATCCCAGGTGGAAGCAGCCGGGAACCGAGACAAGCGGATGAGCATCCCGCCTCCAATCTCTGCATCCCGGCCACTCGCCGGGAAGCGCCACAACCAGACTCAACTCGCCGCTCCCAGCCGGCGGGAGGAAGACCGGCCTACGCCGCCGCTCCCCGCCTCTGCGACTCCGATGCCAGCCAGAGTCAGTTTCCACAGCGGCCACACGGGAACTCCTCGAATCGTGGGGCCCTCGGGACTAAGTTGGAGTCCCCTCTGGGACGGGAGCAGAGAGCGCCGAGTCGAGCTGTGCCGTCGACCGGGCAGTCTACCGGACTAGGAAAGGGAGGAGCGGCGGAATCCTCCGGGAAGCGTCCGCCCGTGGCCACGGTCAAATCTTCCCTACTTCCCTCGCCTCCTCCCTCCCCCTCTCCCTCGAGGACTGAGGAGTCCAGCCTCACTAGGATGGGGGTGGGGCGCAGTCGGCAGGAATAGCCAGGTCTCCAGTCGGCGGCGCCGGAGCTCGTACAGACGCTCCCGTCCCACCGCCCTGCTCCTTGGACGCGTCTGCCCGTAAACTTCGGCCCCGGGAGGGACGCGGTGGCCCGGCTGGGAGCTGGGACACCTGGCGGAGCACCACGGGGGTGAGGTTGCAGCGCCTCCCCTTTTGAAAAGCTGCGCAAAGTTTCTTCCCAATGGAGGTTGTCTCCACCCCCCTCTCCCTGTCCTTCCAGCCAAGCACCCCCTTAAACGGTCCTCCGCCTTCCCCTTCTCTCCTCTTTCCTCCCCACCTCGGTCCTCCCCTTTTCTTCCCCCTCCCCGCCCCAAGCGTCCCCGCGCCTCCTCCCTGGGTCCTGGGGCTGCCTTGTTCTTTGGGCGTCCGCCCCGTCAATCACCGCAGCCGCCAGCCCCTGCCAGGCCCTTCTCCGCCTCCCAGGCCCTCAGAGCACCTCCGGCTCCCGACTCGGGCCGCCCTCCTCTCAGCGCGGAGCCGGGCGATCTGTCAGCGGAGCGGGCCGGGGCGAGGGTAGGGGCGGGGGGAGCCGCCCGGCCCGCCGGGGCTCGAGTTACCCGTGACTGACAGCGTCTCCATGGCGAATAATTTGACTCCGACTATTGTCTGGCGCGGGCAGGCCCCAGGTCAGATAACCGGACCAATCAGGGCGCGGGCCGCTGCGCCTCGTGCCCGCTTAGAATAATATTATTAAAAAAGCTGCGAGCGAGCTAGACGGGAGGGAGTGCAGGCGAGAGGCAAGCGAGGGAGCGGCGGGCGGGCGCGGAGCATGCAGAGCGGCGCCCCGGGCGGCCCCCGGGCTTGGGCGAGGGCGCTGGGGAGGCGCACAGGCGGCCCGGACGCGGCACGGCGCGGGCCTCGCGGCCGGCGCGGGGACATCCGACAGTGACTCAGGGCTTGCCGGGAGCCAGCCCCGGGCCAGGGGGGCCGCCCCGCCCGCCTCTCAGCCCCGGCCGGCCCGGCGGGGAGGCGCCCATGCAGGACTGCGCTGCGTGGTGAGGGCGCGCGCGGGCGGGCGGGGGCGCAGCCGACAACATGTCCATGCTGCCCACCTTCGGCTTCACGCAGGAGCAAGTGGCGTGCGTGTGCGAGGTGTTGCAGCAGGGCGGCAACATCGAGCGGCTGGGCCGCTTCCTGTGGTCGCTGCCTGCCTGTGAGCACCTCCACAAGAATGAAAGCGTGCTCAAGGCCAAGGCCGTGGTGGCCTTCCACCGGGGCAACTTCCGCGAGCTCTACAAGATCCTGGAGAGCCACCAGTTCTCGCCACACAACCACGCCAAGCTGCAGCAGTTGTGGCTCAAGGCACACTACATTGAGGCCGAGAAGCTCCGCGGCCGGCCCCTGGGCGCCGTGGGCAAGTACCGCGTGCGCCGCAAGTTCCCACTGCCGCGTTCCATCTGGGACGGCGAGGAGACCAGCTACTGCTTCAAGGAAAAGAGCCGCAGCGTGTTGCGCGAGTGGTACGCGCACAACCCCTACCCGTCCCCGCGCGAGAAACGCGAGCTGGCCGAGGCCACCGGCCTCACCACCACGCAGGTCAGCAACTGGTTCAAGAACCGTCGGCAGCGCGACCGGGCGGCCGAGGCCAAGGAAAGGTACGAGTAAGTAGAGCTTCCGCGCCTGCTACCCCAGGCCAGAGAGAGTTGCGCAGAGCCAGTGCGCACATCAGCATGGGAGAGGCCTGTCTGGGCCTCCAGGCTGGCCCGGCCTGGCCTGGTCGGGACAGCAGCGTTGGAGGAGGACCCGCGCGGGGCAGGGTTTTGTCTAAAGCGGGCACGGCAGCATCGCGGGGGAGTTATCAAATGACTCCGTTGCGACTTGCAGAGGAAAGCAGAGCAGTGGTAGGCTTGGGGGCACCTCCAGCAGGACTGTTGACATGAATCCGCCTGGCATGAGGCAGGACCTTGCGGGTCTCAAGGGGAAAGGAGGGTGTGGGGCGCAGGTGGAAGCGGGTGGCCGCTTTCTGTCCACCTGTGCATCCACTGTCCACTTCCCCTCTGCCAAAGCTACAGGTGGGAGTATAATGAAGGTTCAGTATGGGGGTTCTTCGCACAAAGGACCGCAGAAGGAAATGAACCCCTGCAGGAAATTTTCCTTGTTGGGACATAAGACTTGAGAGCACGCAGCTCATCCCGCTTGGAAAGGAAAGGAGTGAGGGGCGACGGTCTCCAGGGAGTGTCAGCTCCTGGGAGAAGCCCAGCCCTACCAGGTCTTGACTCCAATCACTTGGGCCCTGCCTTCCTTGCTGGGCTGCTCAGCAGCTGTGTGGTGGGCTGTGGAGAGCTACGGAGGGCTGGGAGTTGTGTGTCTGAGGAGATGAGATTTCCCTGGAACTAACCTGAACAGTTAGGCCCTGTGTCTGCCAGTGCTGTGGTCCTTCACAGGCGGTAGCTTCTAACCCAGACCCCCCCCCCCGGGGGGCTGGTCGTGTGGCACCGAATCTGACCCATTAGGGTCAGAGGTGAGAGCGCTGACTGTCAGAAACATCCCAGAGAGTGCTGGTTCCTGGCCTCTGAGGTCAAGAACTGGAGCAGTCACCATGGTGGGTTCCCAGCTGCCACCCCTGTAGATGAGACAGTCCCCTACAGGAAAGCAAGAAGAAAAGCCCTTGGGGTTGGGGGTTTGGGGGAGATCCCACCCAGAATTTCTAATATGGAGCGTCTGGGCAGGTGCCCTCGCTTTTGGCCAGATGAGGCTCCCTCCATCCAGACTGATGCTGGTTTGTTCAGAAAGTGGTTCTTGGGCCAGGCCCCCAGGTAACAGACCTGGTACCTGGGATTCTGGTAATGTCTAGGCCAGGATTAGCAACACACCCCAACCACCCCCTTCCTTCTCCTCTCTCCCTTCTCCCAGCAGCTAGCTGCCCTGTAGGCCACCAGGTTTCAGACACCGGCTGTGGTTTTGCCCCCAAAGAAAGGGAATGCGTCACCCTAGAGTCCCATTCATAGGCCCAACAAGGAGTACTGTCACCCAGCCTGCCTAGGTTGGACTTAGAGGGGAAGGTTTCAACCCTTGAGAAGCGCCACTGCTAAGCCAGGAGGTTCCCTCCTGCAGAGCGGGGGAACAGTCGAGGACTGTGGAGGCCAGGGAAACGCCTCAACTTCAGAATCCTTGGCTTACTCATCCTCCTCGGTCCCCATTCTTCTCAGCAAACCTTGCTGTAGGAGCCCGGAGGATGGCTGAATCCAGGCTGCTACCCTTTTCCCTGCGTGCAGGGAAGACACCAGATTGAGAGCCTAGAGTCTAGAGTCCATACCGAGAGCGGGACAGGAGAAAACTGGGGTGTTGACAGAAGGAGAATCCGAGGCCAAGGGGAGAAAATGGTAGACAGCCCGGCCAGCACGCAGTGGGCGCTGCGCAGAGGCGGCGGCTCTGGCTCCCCAGGCAAGGTGGCGCAGAGCGACCCTGACTTTAGCGCTGACTCGGCCGCTTTGCTCCCGCCTTGCAGAGAGAACAGCGAGAACTCCAACAGCCACAACCCGCTGGCGGCGTCACTGAACGGCAGCGGCAAGTCGGTGCTAGGCAGCTCCGAGGACGAGAAGACGCCGTCGGGGACGCCGGATCACTCTTCGTCCAGTCCGGCGCTGCTGCTCAGCCCGCCGCCGCCCCCCGGGCTGCCGTCCCTGCACAGCCTGGGCCATCCTCCGGGCCCCAGCGCGGTGCCGGTACCCGTGCCGGGCGGAGGCGGCGCGGACTCACTGCAGCACCACCACGGCCTGCAGGACTCCATCCTTAACCCCATGGCGGCCAGTCTCGTGGACCTGGGCTCCTAGAGCGTCGCTCACCTCTGCGCGAGTTTGGCGTGGCGGTCCCGCCAGGTACCCAGAGACCCGCACGCTGAGGCTGAGCGAGCAGAAATGCCGGCAGGCGGGGCAGAGTGGAAGGCCGTCTGCTTTGGTCCTTGTCTGGGATTTATTTTCCACAAGTCGTTTTGAGATCTTTTGGGGGCTGCAGACCCGGGCCGGGTCTTGAGCCAGGAAAGGGATTCCATTGACACCATTCCGGTTCTCTCTCCCTCTCTCTCTCCATTTTCTTCTTTGCTTCTTTCTTTTCTTTCTTTTTTCCCTTTCTCTTTTTCTCCCTCTGTCTGCCTTGCCGCTTGGGGTATGTGCGTGCTTCTGTATTTTCTCCTGCCAATCTATCGCTCTATGTGCTTGCATCTCTCTCTCTCTCTCTCTCTCTCTCTCTCTCTCTCTCTCTCTCTCTCTCCTCCCTCCCCCCGCCCCCGTCCTCACCGCACCCCAGGAAAGCAGAGGACAGGAAAGTCAGGCCCCGGGACTTAGGCGCTCTGCAGCGGCCCTCCGCAGCCCCGCAGCCACGGATTCGATTCCGTTGGTGGGAACTGCAGGTGTCAGCTTTTCCGAGTTGCTTCGGTGAGAGAGGAAGGGCGGCGCCAGTGACGCCCCTGAACTCCAGGGCCAACGGCCTTTCTCGCACTCTCCCCGCGCTGCGCTGGCTCGGGGCCGTGGCCCCAGAACTCCCCGGAGATTGTGCCCCCCGAGCCGCGGACTTGCCGTCCCCCTGTTAACAACCCTCATGTGAATGTTCCTCGGGAAATATTTCTGCTTCTATTTTATAATAAAATTAGAAATCACAAATACATATACGCTTGCGTGTCCCGAGGCCCACAGGTCGCGAATATAGAGATACCTGATTTCCTCCACGGGGATACCACTCCCCAGGTGGACTGTCTGGGTCTCCGCGCGCAACACACACACACATCCCACCAGCGACAAGGCAAAGGGACTTTCTTTTCAATCCCCCTTTTTTGTGCGGGTAGAGCTCCTGCCAGAAGTGGAGAGGGGCGGTCCGCTCTTCTCCCCACCTCAGCCTTCGTGCAGAGGCTTCACCCCTCTCTGGGGTCTGGGTGGGACTTGTGAGGGTCCCGCGCGGGGACCTAAGTTCGGGGATGTGCCGGCTCTTTGGTGGAGCCCACGGCGAGGCGCTGGACTTATCCACCAGCCGCAAGGGCAGCACGCTCGCAGCTTCAGACGCACAGCCCGGGTGGTGCGAGTGGCGGCGGACAGACGGCTCCGAGTGCACAAACTTGCGCGCCGAGACTTGGGTTGGTTTGCAGTGAGGACGAAGGCCTTCTCCAGGAGGAGATTCAGAGAAGACGCCCGAGCGGCCCGGCCGGTGAGCGGGACTCAGACCCCCCCCCGAGACGAGCTGGCGCCTAGGTCCCCAGGGTCTGAATGCGGGGGCGCCCTCGCGGGCCATGCGCTGTCGGTGCCTTTGCTGCTGTAAATGAACCTGCAGCGCCCCCTCCCCTCTTTAACCTACGCGCCCAACCCGGTTCCAGCAGATCTGAAAAGCACACAGGGCTCTGAGAGTGGTCAAGCGGAGACTCTCCCGCCTCGGGCCCGGAATTGGTGGGTGGAGATATCCGAAACGCATCCCTCCTCCGCGACCAGGACATCGTGGGTCCCCGACGCGAGGGCCGTGAAGAAATCCATTAGGCGCTTGCCTTGCTCCAACACCCTCCAAACCTGGCATACTAAAGACTTGGCCTTTCTGTTAGAATCGTTCCCTGTAAAATCAGACCTTTGAGCTCGTCCTTTCTTAGCACCAGCAGACCTGCGAGCTCTGTCTTCGCTCCGTGCAGAGCCGGAATTCAAGAGCTGACCGAGGAAGCTGAAACCGCTGCACCAGGCTGGAGCCCTCCGGCCCGGATGCGCCCAGCAAGCGCCGCTTTCCACCTCTGCATCCTAAGAGGAATTCCAGTCTTGGCAAGTTCCTGTGATCTAGGGGACAGCTAAGGTCTCCGGGAAACTGGGCTTAGTGGTCCAACGTCCACGTGGAGGAGACTGGTAGACTGCTGGCTGGGGGTCCGCAGAGGTCCAGGTGCCTCAAGAAACCGCCCCCCAGTGTACCAACCAAGCCAGCCAGCGCTTGTTGCTGACCTACTCGGGGCGCTGGAGCCCATCCTGGGCACGCACTTCTGGGGACCAGCTGGGGGTGGGAAGAGGCGAAGACAGCAGCTTCTGTGTCCTGCATCACTCCTACCCTGCCGTGCATTTTTTTCCGGGTTTTACCCAGATAAAAACGGGCTCTGTTCCAACTTTACCAAGGACATGAACAAACTTATTGAACCCGTTGAGAGCCTGTTCTGTTGAGGCATGGCGGATGGCAACCAAACCTTCTCACCCTCTCGCACCCAGCGGCCACCTAAGAGAAGCAGACTGAGCCGGGAACATGTCCATACCTGAGCGCGCCAACATAGGGACTAGCACAAACAGACTTTCAGCTCGCTTGCACATACAAACGTCCTCAGGTCCTCTACCTCGTGCATGTGCGCGCGTACACACACACACACACACACACACACACACACACACACACACACACCTTACACTTCCTCCGAGAAGCTGGAAAATCCTCAGCCATACACGGCTGGGGCTGCTAGCAGAACTCCCCTGGCCGTCGACCTGTAGGGAAGGCCTCGGTATCCAGCTGCTGGGCCCCAGAGGAAGACGCGAATTACTGTCGGGGCACCTCGGGTCACCAATCCCACCGAGGCGGGGGTCACGGGAGTTTGCCCAGAGCCCTCTCGCGCCAGTAGGGGGCAGGGTTCCAGTCCCCTGCTTCTGTGTATTCCGTGGAGTGTATGCCACCCTGGCTTGCAACTTATTCCTTCCGCTCTCGCTTGGAAGATGTACCTGAAAATACGTCCCTGGGGTGGGGGGCGGTGGGGAGTTGCATAGAAGTTCTAAGAAAGTTTCAGTCCAGGCAGAGACCGGTGCAAGCCAGTCCTTGCACTCCACACTGGGCCAGACCCAGCTGCTGCCCCGGCCGGCCGGCGTGCGCCCAGGCGACACCCCGGCTCGAGCTGACCGTTGCCCACCGCGCAGCAGGGTTTCCAGGGGCTCGCTCTCCCTGCGCCAGCCAGTTTTGACCCCGGGCTTAAAGCGTTGCGACCAGAGAAGTTTTTCATTGGTTCTGGGCCAGGCCCAGAGCTGTCGGCGGAATACGGGGAGTGGGCAGGGATCGTCCGAGTGGCGGCACAACACGGAGAGGGAATCACGGCTCCCGGCGCCGCTTCAGTCTCTCCTGCGCCCACAGACCTTGACCCTCGCGGGGACTGGGGACACTCGTGTGCCTGCCCCGAGATGTGTCTTGAGGGTGTGGCACTCTCCTGAGGAGTGCGCCCCGAACCAGGAGAGGTTATGCCGATGTGGATGAGAAGAGCGGGCCTCTTGCTCAGCCGTAGGTTAGCGCCAGTGGTAGGAATCACGATTTCGGTTCTTGGGACAAGCCCTGTGAGGGCTTCAGGTTCAGGGAACAGAGACGTCGGTCCGCGTTCTCCTCCTGCTGCGATGCCGAGGGCGGGGGTGGAAGGGCTACGGAGCGAGGGGGGAAGTCTGGAGGAACAGGTGTGGAAGGGCGCGTCTGCAAGATTTTTGCCTTTTTCCTTTTCCTCACCCCGCCCTATGAGCGGCATCAGTTGGGTGGGTTCTCAAAGCTGCCCTAAGGACGCTGAAGGCGACCACCACCCAGCGCGTGTGGACTTGTCTACGGTGGGAGAAGGCTCAGAGACAGCGAGCTACGCTGGGAAGCGCGGTGCAGCCGGCGCGGACTGCGGGCCTGGGAGGGCGGCTGCGAGCGCCACGCCAGGCCAGGGAGCCGGGGAGCGCCGGGGCAGGGCTGGAGGAGCGCGTTCCTGAGCCGGCCCTGGCGGCAGGTGCTCGTCGTTTGCTGCGCCGCAAGTGGCCGTGCACCGGAAGAGAGCCGCCTCCCCAGGGTCTTCTCTCCAAGTTTCCCCTGTGCGGATGCTACCGGTGCTCAGAATTGGTTTCTCCCGGGTGGTGGCGAGGTGCACAGGGGAAGACTGAGTGCGCTCCGTGAGTTTCCCGTGTGGTTGTCAACATCCGGGCTGCTGCCCAGCCTGGTAGTCGCCTGCCTGGGGCCGCCCTGCCGTGGAGAGGCCCCACTTCTCGTGGACAGATCAGGGATGGCGTTGAAGCCCCCCACCCCACCAGGGTGCCCCAGAGGCTCCCTTTCTTGTGGGAATCCACGAGTCCGAGGCCACCTGAAGGAAAGAGCGAGGTCTTCCGAACCCTTACAACACTTATCCCTGCTAAATAGGCTAAATAGCGGACTACCAGGAGCCTGAGTAGCGAAGGTGCAACCGCGCCTGTGGTTACGGGGAAGGAGGCAGGACTCCGCTTGACTCCGGGATCCAGGCCCCCAAAGCTCCACTTGCACTGAAAGCTGCAGCTACCTTGGACTTGCCCCGAGGCAAGCCGCTCTCCAGGGGTAAGTCGAGGCTCTGGCCTCGGGACAGGAAAACTCTATTCCTTCCTTCCGCAGAACCGGGTTGCTGGCTCTGCACAGTGGTCTAGGAACCCCGCAGCTTGCAACACCGTGCTGGCGACACAGGCGTCTGCAAACTTTTTACCCCCGCCTGTAGTCGTTGCGTTGTCTCTGCGGTCTAGGGGCCTCGGGGCTCCCCGCTGAGGGCCTGTGGAGTGACTGGCCCGCGAGATCCGAGCAAGAGCTGCGGCAGGGCGGCCCGTGAGGAGTTGCGCACGCTTCTTCCCTCCTTCCTTTCAAGGCCTTCCAAGGCCTTCCAAGGCAACGAGTCCCAGTCTGTCCGCCCAGGCCAGGGGCACTCACTCTCTCAAAAGCGCTTGCCGGCACTGAGGTGGTGCAGATGCAGCTCGGCAACGACTTTTCGGTTGGTGGCCGGGATCGGAGGTCTGCAGACACCCGTGCACCTGCCATCTGGCCGCACAGTCGCCGAATCCATGCATGGTCGTCACTGGTGGAGACACAGAGGCTTCCGGCTTAGGAAATCCCGGGTTCAGACTCACGGCCGCGGCAAGGCCGGCAGAGCACCCACAGTGGCCGGTCTCTAGTGCCAGCGGT